GCCGCGCACCAGTCGCCGAGGTGGTTGTCCGGGCCATGGTCCGGATGTAGTCATTGGTGGCGGTGGCCAGAGTCCGGCCAGCGGTGGCCAAGCGTCCGAAGGCCGGGTGCGTGGTGAAGGTCTTGGCCGCATACACCTGGGCGCTGATGAAATTGGTGTAGGCCGTACGCAGGGGGGCCGAGGCCGGGGGCGAACCGGCCGGCGGGGCGCGATCCGCCTGGACGACCGTCTGCAACAGGGCATCCGTCTGGGCCAGGATGGCGTCCAGGTCCAGCTGGGACTCCTGCGCCAGGAGGCTCGAGGAGTCCAGCTGCAGGAAGGAGAACAGCAGGAAGTGCACATCGAGCAGCAGCGACCGGAGGGAGGAACTCAGCTGGACCCAGGACCCGGCGACGGCCTGTGTCCTCCGCATGGTGGGAGGACCGGCGGGTGGGGGCCAGTCGGGGCAATTGGCCAAGCAAGCGCGGAGGCGAGAGGGAGTGCGGGGGTGAGAGGGAGCGCGCGGGAGGGAGAGCCAGGTATGGACAGACAGAGGGCGACCATGAAGGGGAAAAGGGGAGGCAGCCGGCCGTGGTGGAGGGGGGGGGGGGGGATGCGCACCGAGATCGGCATGGAGTCGCGGGTTTCCGGGCGCGAGTGTGACAGACACACCTCGGCGGCCAGGCGCTGCGAGGAGAAGAGCGTCCCGGCGATGGTGGCCGCCTCGGGGCAAAGATGGGGGAAGTCCGGGCGCTGGGGCATGGCCGCGCGGGACCGGACCTCGGCCGGGCTGAAGGGATCGAAGGAGATCCCGGCCGCGGCCAGGGCGATGGTTTCCTTGCGCGGCGGGGGGGGCAGCTCGCCGGAAAGGACCGGCGTGGCGCGCGTGGCCAGCATCGCCTCATGGGCATCTTCCCCGGCCGGGGGCAGAGTTACACGGGTGGAAATCATGGCCGGCGGGTGGGCCTTGCCGGTTGTGTGGGGAACCCCGGCGCCGGGACCCACTGGCGCCAGGTGCGGCGACTCCTGGAGGCTGGTAAAGGCCGGCAGGTCGGGCGTCGGGTGCTGGGTGGCGCTGGCTGCGCCGATATGGTTGGACCCCATGGCGGCGCGCACGAGGATGCGTGTGGGGCGCGGGCACTCGGCGGCGGCGGCGGCCAGGCTCGGGCGAGGGCAGGGGCACACAGGAACGCGGAGGGACGGGGGGGGGCGGGGGCGGGGGCGGGGGGATGCGAGGGGGGGGAGGGAGGAAGGGCAGCAGGGAGGGGGATGGATCGGCGCGAGTGCGATGGCAGACAGGAGGGGAAGGGGGAAGGTGACAGCTGGCGGTCCGGCTCCGGGGCCGGTCGGTCGGAGAGTGGGCCAACTTGATTCTCCGGCCCCGGGCCCCGGTCGGTCCGTGGGCCGAGCACGATCGCTGCGGGGGATCTCTGTCGGCCGGTTTGCCCTCCCTGGGGTGCAAGAGTGTGTGGCTGTGGGCGTGTGGGCGTGTGGGCGTGCGGGCGTGCGGGCGTGCGGGCGGGCGGGGG